TTCGCCTTATCGTAAATGAAAACCCCATATTAAACCGTTTATATGGGTTTTGGAACGCGTTCATTCGACTTTCATCTGACATGACAATACGCTTACTTCCCCACCATGCCTCGCCACGCCCGGCAAATGCAATTTGATAGGAAAACCGAAGGTTGTTGTTGCTCTGTACCTTGTAGACTGTGCTTCTGAGGGCAATGGTGTCAAGTTACCAACTTGGTAGCATTGTCATGTGATGGACAAGCTATAACCCCAACAAGAGCAAATTAAGGACAAAATAGAGGACAAAACTTGAGGATCTTGCTTGCGTCAGTTTTGGTAGAGGCTCATGTGGACGTATTTAGAAATGTAGCCCCTAATTCGCTCCTTACAACCGTGTTAGCAACTCTCTATTAAACCTACGCGTTGTTGCGGGAACTGCTAAGCTGCAAGGTGTCTGAAATACCTTTGATTTATTCTTAACTTTAAGACAAAAATCCTCGAATCCAATAGTATAATCCAATGAAAATTTAATCCCATACAAAATGGCGTCAGCTGTCTCAGCTATCATATCAAACAGAGGCAATTGCGCTTCTCGCACTCGATTTTTGTCCTTATAATTAGGGTCTTAGGGGGCAAAATCACCCGGAATTTGACCCTTTTGCATCTTATTTCGTCCTCTTTCTAAGGACAACAATTGTTGACAGCATCCAGCGGGTAGCTCATACAGCTAGCAACTAGGAGGTAATCGAAGAGAGATGAATATCATGATTGTTGTGAATTTCTATATAAGAGGTACTAAGTACTTCACGCACGCGGGCATGTGGTCCATCTACTTCGCTTGGTTAGTAGCGTCGCTCTTCTTCTGAATGCGGTGATACGCCACGCCTGTGCCGGAAATGTTGTCTCCCAAGCCGGCAGTGTGGTCAGGCTTTTTGCACGCCAACATGGGCACCAGGTGGCACTGGAAGTCGGCCTCCTGCCACGTGACAATAGGCGAAAACGGGTCGAGCTCCACCTTGAGATCCTGTCGTTTGCTCAGCAGTTGCTGTCGAGCCAGCAGAATCTCAATACGCTCCGGATCCACTTCCATGTCAGCACTCGTACGCATAGGCTGGGGCTTGTCATCATTGTCTGTGGCACTAGGAGCTGGTGGCTTGCCGCACGCCACCTTTGAACTCATGAGCGCACTCTGCACCAGCGCCGTCTTGGGGTCTTCCCACATACTTCCCTCCTTTTGACACACAATGTGGAACTGCAGTGTATGGAAGTGAATGCGAGAGAGTTGAGCCAGCGCTAGCGACTCGTCCTTGTCTTCGTTCTTGGTCTGGAAGTTTTTCTTGGCTTTTGACGCGAACTGGATGACGTCGTGCAGTTGAGCGCTGATGTCCGCCACTGTAGGACGCGAAGACGTAGCTGTACCTTCCTCACCAGTAACGAGATAGTGGTGTAGAATGAAGAGCTCCTGTTCATTCAGGCCAATGGAATCCACCCAGGGCAGCACGAGTCGGACCGTGTCATCGAAGAGACTGAAGTCCGACACAGCCGCAAACTCATAATGGGTCGGCGTCCGGGCCACAAAGAGGTTCTGAAGCACCTCCGACAAGGCCTTGAGACGCGTCAGACGTACATTTTCATCCGTCTGCACCTCCATCAACTGCAGACCTCCAAATACCACCAGATCCGGCTTGAAAGAGTCCAGAGATTTCTCAAATTCCTCTAGAACTGACAGCTGGGCGTTGTGTACGTCATGATTCAAGTAATATCTGTTTGCACGGGGCGAGATATGTCCTCGGAACTCGTCTCCACTCGAGTATTCCAGCACGAGATGCACATCCTCGTGCTCATGTTCGTCCAAGTGGCCGACAAGTTGAATACGCTGGTCTACAAAGTACGGCTTCATGTCTTTGCCCATAGCTGCTCCCAATAGCACCACACAGCCCTCTGCTGAGGCTCTTTCGGCCATTGTGGCAGCATTGCCGCCCACTTTTCGCTTCACTTGTGGCAGAGCATCAGCTAGCGCCACTATCTCTCTGAACTGCTCTGGAGAGAGCATACTCTGCTCAGCAGCAGCTCCAGAGGAGAAATAGTAGGCGAAGCTCTCTTGTAGCTCTTTGAGCGAGCCGATACGCTCGTGGTGGCGCTTAGTTAAGTCCTTGGAGATCTTTCCTTGCGTTTTCTTCTTCTGATGGTGCTGGCGCTCCACCTCCTGGACGCTCTGCATGAGCTCCACGGCGGGGACTGCTACGTCCAGATCGGCGCTGCAGCAGAAGGCGAGACGCGGCGGATCGCGCGTTTCTCCGTCGGCGCCGTTGGCCGCAGCGTCTCCGCTCTTGGATGCGTGGAAGACCAGCGACGCCAGCATCTGCTGCTGCTCTACGACGCTCAGCGAGACTTCGCGCGTTGGGAACAGCGCGGCAAAGAAGTCGGCATACAGCACCGCGGTCGCACAGATCGCCAGGGACACGCCCAGCGCCATAAGCTGCGAAGCGCTGTACATGACGACGAGGGGGGTCTACCTGAATGAGCTGCATCATGATTTGACAAAAGATCGGGTTGAGTTTTTGACCAATCGATAGCAGTAAAGGTTTTAGCCAATCGAAAGATGTTTACGCGGCGCCTGTTCATCGTTTCGGTGATCGGCGATGAACATGGATGCACTGCACATTAAGGCGATCTCAGAGATCATTTCGAGACTTTCCAAGCTGCAGAGCAATGACACTCTCGCTAGAACGCGCTACACGGGCTCTCCATGTCTTGCTGCTG